TCTCAAGCCCATTAAAGGGAATGCTGGCTGCCCTCATCAAGGATGTACCAACTACAAAAGGTCTTTATGTTTTTTACTTAAAATAATAAATATTTATTTAAAAAAATATCCATATTTCTATATAATGAAGAAAAAAATTTGTTTGAATGTCAATTTTGATATAAAAAAAATTGAAGTATTATTCTCATAATATTACCTATATGAACATCATATTTGTTTTTAATCGGTAAAAACTAATTTTTGTTCGATAGGTCTTTGGAAGTTACAGTTGGGCACACGGTTCAATGAACATTAAGGATGCATGTCACTAATATTGCAAGTATAGCTATGAAACAAACCAAAATGATGGCAAGTTGAAACCTGAGCTGTGGGAAAGGGGGAAGTTTCCTTTAATGGAAAACAAAAAACTGTTGGGGCCTTCAATAATAATGAATTTTATGCATTTGCAGTCGCTTTCTCTACCCTTAGCCTCACCACTCCATTATTATTGCTCCCATTCCCATCCTTCCTTTAACGGCATTTCTAACTCTCTGTTTATTATACCCAACAATTTGCTGCAACTCATTTAGGAAATTGAGATTTCAACAGATAAACATTCACCTACTTGTATTCTATTACAATTACGACATTAGTTTTACTTTAATTAATTAATTTTTCTGCTCTTTCCAACAATTAAATGTCACTATATCCTAATTTTATAATATTAAATATTACATGATAACTGAAATAAACGTCATAATATAATTAAAAAATAATATATGTATAAATACACACTATTTACATTTTTACATGCGATATTCATTTGGCTTCTATATATATATATATTGTTAATATGAGATAACTATTACCTACAAGATAATATATGTTTAAGGATAACTCCTAACCATTTGAGATTAAACTTTTACACCTCTAGCGTTCATGATGCTCGAACCTGATACCTCAAGGAATAACAACAAATCTTTTACCACCGAAGTCGCTTGGTTCGTGCATTCATGGTGTATAAATTATCTTTTCGATCAATTCAAGTATCTAACTTTACAAACATTACCATTTTAAGTGTCTCGATTGTAACGACATTTAAAAAGGTAGGTAAGTGACACGGGTCAAATTCAGTGACAAATCCATAAATATTTTTTAGAATGATTACACATATATTAATAAAAAAAGCGTATGACCAGAAATAAATAAAATTTCAGAGTGAACATCATCAATAAAATAAACAACTAACATACATAAATTTATATTTTAAAATTGACACGTGCCCACCTTAAAATACATGTATGTCCACTACTTGTCACATTAAAATTTTATTATTAAAAAAGAAAATATTGTTTTTCTAGAAAAAATATCCACTCTTCCTCTATATCCCCTCAAACCTCTATATCCCCTCAAACCTCCTCAAAAACCACCCCGTCGTTCATAGGTATATAATATAGTAATTTAGGGATTTATAAATTAGTGTTTATAGATTTAAATTTTTAAGGGATTTAGGGATAAGATTTTAATAGTTGGTTGGTGTTTTTTGGGTGTTGTGTCATCAGTGAAGATTCGATCGACGACGATAGCGATAACAACGACGATAAAAGACAGTGATCGATGTGGGTATATGAATTAAAATTAAAGTTTTCAAAGTTTTTCTAAGATTTCAAAAAAATATTAAGTTCTTTTTGAAAAAAAATACATTCTTAAAGTTTTTTTTATTTTAAAATAAAACTTTCAAAATTATATAGATGTGACACATATCATTTAATGGAATTTTTTTTAATAATTGTTACAATTGAGACACTTAAAATAATAACATTTATAACGTTAGACGCATAGATTAATCGAAAAATAATTTGGACACATAAATAAAAAAAAATATAATTTAAATAACATTTTATATTAATCAAATTTTTAGAAAAGTATACCAAGTAAAGTAAAATCTGTTGACGTTTATGAATATCATTAATATGTAACTCCATCCTATAGAGTTTTTCTTACAATTATTAAACATGTAAGACTTACCCGACGAATTCATGTGTCACGACAATCTTGATCAGTTCATTGGATTACTGTTGATGACGTAATCATATATATATATATATATATTTCCTTCTTTACTACTGAAATAAATGGGAAAATGAAATAGAGTTGTCATTCATTGATTTCAGTTGAAAAACCACCAAACAGACTCATCTGACACTTAAAAAGGGAACCTAAAAGCCATATGTCCCTCGTTAGAATAGACTCTATAATCATTATTTTTCATAATGAAGGATAGGGACAGTTTGATTTCAACCAACATTCTCGCCACACAAAATATGAATAATTTAAACAATTTGTTCACTGTATTAAGTTTTAAATTATTGGTTAAACTATATAAATAGTTATTAAACTTTTAACACACTTATATTTTAATCACGGAACTCTTAAAACTTACAATTCAATCATTAAACTGTTAATTTGTTTTCGATAAAAATATTAACTTAACACTTTAAAATCTTTTTTTTTTCTTTTAAAAAACCCCAGGTTCTAAAAAAGTCCTATAATGAATTTGTTAAAATCATTGAGATGAACATCAATATCGATTTTAACTAATTCCATATCTAAATGTGTGTTGATTGCTTTGACTGAACAATATTAGCCGACTTTTACACCCAAAATCCATAAATATATGCAAAAAGCTTTTGTCCCAAAGATCTAGCTTAGAAAACTAAGGTGGTAGATAATAACTGTTTTTGTGATTTTATTGTTTCTTTAATTTTTCATTCGCTTTAAGTTTTTATTTTATTATTATTATCAAATTTGAATTATGTGTTTCCTTAATCACCGCAAAATCCTTATATAACTTCAATTCTTCTTTTTAATAATAAGTTTTCTTCTTTTTCAATTATAGCTCAACTTTGTATTTTAATCAATTTGGTCTTCTGACTGTTACTCTTTACGTATTATTTCTTTTCATTAGTTTTTTGAATCATTTATACCTAGGGATGATCAAATAATTCAAACCCGACGAATTATAACTTGATTAAACCTTATAAGATCAATTTTTTAAAAATAATTTCAAATCAAATCAAATTTTATGTACGAAAGAATTGAATTTAGAATGAAATTAGATTTAGATTTATAAATATTTGCCTAATTAACATAATTTATGATTCTAATTTCCCCAATTTCTGTTTTTCATTTTTCAATTTCAACTAGAGCTACTCTCTGGCACATATTATTTCTTTCGCTGGTCTTTCTTTCAAAAAAACCAATGCCATATATTTTTATTCTTAAAAATCATATCAAATTTGTGGCGAGTGGAAACCTTTAACCTCGGGTTAGGTCTTATGTAAAACAAAGAGTATACTACTTTAGCTGAAATTGAATTAATTGAAAATCTAATCTAATATGATCAATGATCACCTACATTCACACTCTGACGGATAATTTATCCTCAAAATATTTAAATAACATTATAAACATATTATATAATTTTATATGGTTTTCATTTATTAAATAATATTATAGATATTAATTATATATGTAAAAATATGAAAATAGTATGTATATAGTATATAATTAGATAGAGTAGTTTATATGAGAATTAAAAATATCAAATATTATAAATAAGTATATTTAAATTTAAATAAATATATTAGATTTGACCCAACTAAAATTTCATAAGTTCCAATGGATTTATAAAAATTCAAAAAATAAATAAATTTATAAACTCGATTAGCTCAATATTTTTTGTTCGACTTATTTAAATACTCACTTTTTTAACCTCCTACGTGTATCCAGCTCATTGGTTCAGCCATGAACTAGGCTACTTACGGGTCGACCTACCATCAAGTCCCATATTTTTTACTCCCACGTGTCGAGATCAGATCGGGGGACTAAGTTCTTCGTCGTCCTTGAGATCGTACCCTGTACAATTATTAGGGTGACTGCCCAATCAAAGAGTTGCAACCGTCTCAGGGCCCCACTAAATCCAGTTGCCCGCATGTAATTTTACCGTTGATCTGGGCCGTTCTTTTGGCGGCTACCCCATTTCAAGCTGACCGTATCCCCTACTGTCGGGATAGCTCCGGTGCACCAGACTAAAAAACGGCTAAAACAAGATTTTATTGGTTTTATTTTTGTATTAAATAATAAAACCGGTAAAAATTACAGGAAACATTATTAGGCGCTACCGATTTTATTATTATTGGGTATTTTTTACTGGATTTTCGAAAAACAAATACAGAAAATATTATTAGGCTTAAAAAAATGACCGGATTAACATAATATTTTAGGTAATTACCGAAAAAATTTAAATAATTTTTATCAATTTTATTGTTTAAACGATAATAAAACCGGTAATATTTTATTTTAACCGTTTTTAAGCATGCCGCACCGTATAACTTCTCCCTACTGTCCCTTTTCTCCTCCAATAATCTTTTCTTATTTCTCCGGTTCTTCTCTCTCTTCCCAGAGATTTTAACACATTTATTGTTTGAAGCTTGTTAGTAGCTTTGCTTCTTTATTTGTCGAGCTTAGAACTCTTTTTACTTTATCTTTCTTCTCTTTTATTTTATGTTAATTTCTCTACGAAAAAGAAGAAAATAGCACATCTTTCTTAGTTTCCATCATTCTTCTACTCAATTCAGTGTTTTTTTTCCTTCATTTTTTTTAAAGTTTCCAAATTGGGTTTTCATTTCCAGCTCTTTGTTTATTGGGTTCAGCTTAGTTTATTGGATTCTGCTGTCAGCTTCTCCTTTTCCCCCTAGTTGGGTTATCGAGGAAGTTGAATCCGAGTGTTAGTTGTTTCAGTTATTATTACTCGACAAAGAGAAAAACATATAATTATTTTCTCAGCTATGTTATAAATACAGCGAGTTCCTATTCAAATTTCCTTCAAAAAGTTTTTCTGCGTATTTCCTATTTTACAGTTTGTTTCGTTGCTAGTACTGAAAAATTCGCCGTTTTAGTTCTTGAATTGCGCGAATTTGTGGTGTTAGGGTTTTCATAGTGTTTTTACTTTGATAGCTACAGAATTTTGTAGTTCTTCTTTGAATTTTTGTTTTGAAAGTGGGTATTTTCTGGATTCCTCATGGATTGCCTACACACTCGAAAAAATATTCTGATTCCTTGCAAATGCTCCCTGATTTAACGCTGATATTTTTCCTTTGATACCCTATCAAGTCTGCATTTTCCCAATAGTTTCTCGTTCTGTTTTAACTCTTATAGAATTCTATAACCGAAATTCCATTCTTCGAGTGATGATCAATCTTCTGAAACGATTAGTGAATTAGGAACTTGTTCAGACAAAACTTCTGTGTTTTGTTAATTTTTATTGGTTACATTTGATGTTATGAAGTGGGAAATGGAAATTCTGTCGTCGGCATCTTATCTCTCCAGCACAAATTGGCTTGCTGAAGAGAGCACGAAATGGACATCAGCAGAGAACAAGATGTTCGAGAATGCCTTGGCGGTGTACGATAAAGATACGCCGGACCGATGGCAGAAAGTGGCTGCTATGATCCCAGGGAAGACGGTCGGAGATGTAATCAAGCAATACAGAGAATTGGAAGCTGATGTTAGCAGTATAGAAGCAGGTCTGGTTCCAATTCCTGGATATAACACATCTCCATTCACATTGGATTGGGTGAATAGCCATGGCTATGATGGATTGAAACAGTCATATGGACTCGGTGGAAAGAGATCTTCATCAGGCAGGCCTGGAGATCATGAGAGGAAAAAAGGGGTTCCTTGGACAGAAGAGGAGCACAAGTAAGTTTAAATGGTTATGACAAATTATAATTGTGCTCATTCTTTTATGATCTATGTTATCTGTTTGTATCAGCAGTACTTTCAGGTGAAGAAATTATATTTGTGAGGATTTTAATTGTTTGAGTAAATATAATTTGCTTTTGGTTTCCTTATATTTATCTTCCATTTCATTGACAAGAATCGATGTTCATGGATTTTTAACAGATTGTTTCTAATGGGACTAAAAAAGTATGGCAAAGGAGATTGGAGAAATATATCTCGCAATTTCGTTGTCACTCGAACACCGACTCAGGTGGCTAGTCACGCTCAGAAATATTTCATCAGGCAGCTTTCAGGGGGGAAGGATAAGAGAAGAGCTAGCATTCATGACATAACAACGATCAATCTCAACGACATGAGAACTGCTTCCCCGGACAATAGGGGTACTCCACCCGAGCTCCCTCAGCAGCCAAATTCTGCTGCCATGCCCAGAACACACTTTCAATGGAATCAGCCTTGCCGCGGGGCAACAATGGCTTTCAATTCAACACAAGGAAGTATGCTAATGTCTTCTCCTTATGAGGATCCCTCCTATGGATTGAAAATGCAGGGGCATAGTCTGCAAAGAAGTGCTGCACATGAGTCCTATTTTGGACCTCAGAATTTGGTTTTTCAGATGCAATCAGCCGAACAATACCCTCAAGACCACCTATTCTGAGTTCCTCCTGCCAGTTGATTATTGTAGCTGTCTTTGTGCTTTTATGGTTTTATTATGTGTATATTATCAAGAACTTGAGTTTAGTTCATAGCATTCAAAACAAGAGGTGATAGGATTGAGTTTTGCTAGGAACTTGAGAGTATGAAATGTGAAACTGTGAGGGAAGATTCTTAAACCTGGATTTCCCTTGTATTTAAGATTCTGTAGTTGAATCTGATTGTCCCTCGATCAAATTGCTAAGCTATTTGGTAATAGTGGTGAGCTTATGGCATCGACATGCGATATATGAATTATGGAAAAAGCCGTTTTCGAGTTTAGGAATATGATTTGAAGCATATCATCGGAGTGCATCATACATGCATTGGTGAGCAGGGTTCGAGTTGCAGGCTTACACGGAGAATGAAACAATAGAATAAGCATCTACAACCATAAGTTCAAAGTTTTAGACAGTTGTAAGCATGAGCTGAGTGGTTGTAATTTTCAGAAGTTCATCAATCTAGTATTCTAGTTGTAAACTTTTGGCAGTTTCATGTTGTAAATCCTAGTAATTTGATTCAAGACCAATAATTCCAAGTTTCCAAAAGAAAAGAAGAAAAGAAAACTTCAAAATTTTGCTCCTATTGGAAAGGTTATAATCTATAGGTTGAAAGGTTTTGAAGCAACCCCGTGTAGGGTCTACATTTCTAGGTAAAGCCTCAACCATTATACAATGGCTGCGCCAGTACATTTTTGAACTGGTTTGGTAGGATCTCAGTTCATATTGGCTGTCACAGGGCATTTTGAGACTATTGCAGTAAACCCATTTTCCCAAATACTCCAAAATGGCCTACTTGACTGTTCCTGACCTTCAAAACCATAGTCGAGGCTGACTCTGAAACCCACTAACTTGAGCATCATATTCTTCAATGCTCCACCCTTTTTCTTCCTCGAGATCTTTATTAAGAGATCCTCTTGTGAAAAAGAAGATTCTTCATTGTAGTGTATATTATTGGTTACACTAATAGAATGTAGCATTCAAAAGCAAGATTCAGGTTAGATTTCCCTGTTGATTTCCTCTTTTAATTATATAATTTTGTAGTGAAACCCTCTTTAAAGTGTGTTTGTCGAAGATATCTCTTTCCTTAAATCTTCTTAACAATGGTGGCAACTAGGAAGTCTATGATTTTGTGATACTAAGTGCACGTCTGCAATCAACTTGATGAATATAATAAAGGGTTCAACTTGTTTTTAAAGCTTAAACTGTGAACCCTTTAATGGGTACAACTATTAAGCTTCTCTGGACCATGAAATTCTCTTTAGTGGGAATTTAGTTGACCTTAAATTTCTTTCATAAAAGGGGGGGGGGGAAGGGAATCTTCTGGCTAATTAAGTGCTGATTTGAACTAATGTTTTGTATCATTTTTAATAAGTCAAATTAGAAATGATTATTAACTAATAAGACCCATAAAGTTCATTGAAGTAACGCATTTCACTCTTCCCCCCCCCTTTCTCTTCCTATACATTTTCTCTAAGACCATATGATTATTTAACTTTACATTTTTCGTTTTTTTCCTTCTCTCACTGTGCACATTGATGCACTGCACTGACATGCAGGGTCTGGGTTGGCCAAATTTGTTGTTGCGGGTTTAATCATGTGAGTTGTGACTATTAACATGTAGGCCATTGCACCAACTTCTTCTGCATCTTTACTTCCATTATTTGTTTGTATTTCTATTTTAACGACAAATGGTAAATACAAAGACTTTTAGTTTTTTGTGCTATTCCCATTCCTTCTTATGCCTTTTCTTAAGCTGTCATTTAGTATTTTTTTTATTATTCTCTCTTTTTTCAATGATTTATACACTTATCTTTTGTAAGAATTTAAAAAGTTCCAATTAAAATATAAAAGAAATAATAAAATTAGAATATATATATTTTTAGTAAATATCTTAAGTGAGTCTAAACTTACCTTAATTTATCCCAAAAATTTAATAAAAAATCTAACTAACCACACAGAGTTGGTGGCATATTGTATATTCAGTCCCATATATGAAGCAAAGAAAACATGGAAAATTACCAGTATGGTCATATCAAGTAGCTAACCATTTGAAGGTAGCTTGACAAAACTAGCCAGAATAGTCTTAAAAAAATACAAGAAGGCATCTGGGCAACTTTATTCTTATTTTTTTATCAGCATCTTAACAAGTTACGACCACATATGTATTATGTCATAATTTGACACTTTCGGTTATCTGACATTATTCTGATTCTTCTCTTAAGAAAACTAAAAAAGATTATGTTTGTTACTGAAGCTCTTATCTGCAATTACATTGGGGAAAAGGGTAACTTATATGCTGTTCTTCAATGGCTTAAAAATGATTTGAAACTGATCTACTAATGGGGTATTTGGATACATTTCAAAGAAGAAAAAGTATGCAATAATTAATGCAATCAAAAGAATGCATAACTGTTTCAAGTGAAACAAATTAGAATACAACAATGTGTTTCCAGGGTATCTTTAGGACAGTAGAAAATGATAAAGCAGAAAGGACATATATATACCATTCAGAACATTAGTCATTAGTATTATTTGATGGGGCCTGAGATTTTTGTTGAGAATCTGAGGGGGAGGGGGGCATCAATTCTTGTCCCGAGATTTCTTCTTATTAGATAAGACTCAAAATACCCATTTTTTTATGGATCAATTTCATCCTCAGAAAAGCATGCATGCATGTTAAGATATCAAGCTTGATTTATGCTAGTGAAAACACCATAAATCAAAATCAAGAAAAAGGAGACACAGGCCCCTAGACATGATGGCTGACATAATTGTCACTTTGAAACTGTGAGAGATTGAAGTGTCACAACAATGTGGTTTGAATTCATACATGAGACACAAGCCTTTCAAAGACAAAGTCCAAAAAGGAAAAATCAATGATGAAATTTGCCAAGGGACCAGATGTCTATGCCTTGATTATTAAAAAAGAAAAGAGCTTGGCACTGCTGACCTAGGCCATGGAAATCATTTACTCTGTAGGTTTCTCCTAGTTGAATGTCAATCCAAAGCCAAGGGGAAACAAAGGATCACATGAATTGTCTCCATTGTTGATTGGCAGCTGTTTGGTTGTCCTAAACCATGTCATTGGCAATCGCCCCTCAAATTCATAGTCTCCGAAAACTACATCAGTGATTCCCCTTCCTTCAGTTCCTGGTAACCAGGCAGCATTCAGAGCATCCATTTTCTCCAAAAGCCATGGCTCTATAAGCAAAGGTCTTCCAGATATCAGGATCACCAATGTGGGGATTCTGTCAGCAATAGTGCTTATTAGTTCACTTCCATTTAAGGGGATTACTAGCTCTGAATTGTCTCCCGCAGACTCCGCATATGGTTCTTCACCAACAGCTACAATGGCAAAAGAAAAGTTTGACTCAGCCAAGGTGCTTGGCGAAGGATACTTCTCATAAAGCACCTCTGTTTTTTCTCCTATTACTTCTCTGAATGCATCCAAGATTGTTGTGCCTAGAAAGAAATGAATTTGAGACAATTTTCGATTCAATGATGTGGGAATAATACATGATACTAGATAACCGGTTAATAATTATCAATAATGGGAGAATACTATGTGAAACATACAATTAAACATCATATGTATAGGGGATTTGAAGTGGATATGGAACAGTGGTTGGTGGGGTTTAGCAGGGGGGAAGAAAACATGTTTAGTTTTTTTATATAACTGCTTACCAATTGTAATCCTGCCACTGCTTCCTTTTCAGTAACGTGTCCAACCGCCTCACTGGTATCCGAGATCATCAGCATGTGTTCCAGCAATAAGAATTTTTTTGGCATTTTTCTCTAATGGAAGGAAAGGCTTTCCAGGATTATTTCCGTTCTTCAATAGAACTAAGGACTTGCGTACGGCTTCACGGGCTAGTTCCCTGTGCAGCTGCAGGAGATCATAGAGATCACTGTGAATCTATAAACTATGGTATAAAATCAACTAAGAATCATTTGTTAAGACATTCAATATCTAAACCAAATGACAGCTATAAAATTTGCATACAAATGCAACCAGTTACTGGTCTAGATAACTATGATTCCTAACGGCTTACTGCTTTAGATAGCTGGAGAGGTGGTGATCCAAGGTTTGGGCCAAAGTACTCATTAATAGGATCCCCTTACTCCTATTACCATTAGGATTTTGAACAACTTAAGAGTCGGTATTTTCATCAGTGCATCCTCTTCAAACTTTTCCTCCTCAATTCTATGGTCCATGATTCTAATAGGTAAATGTTTTATGCCATTTTTCTTCAACGAAGAACACAAACATAAAACAAATAATTGAAAAATTACAAGTCCCTTGATGAAAATATATTCTTCAGAACGAGAAAACAATCAATTATTTTCCAAGCATTTCTTTTGTGGTGCGTCATTGGAATTTGGAGAAACTTTGTGTAGTCCGAGATGATTGACGTTAACAGATTGAATGTTGAACTCAACGAATACTACCTTGCAGCCAACCGTATCTAGCAAAGATCTGTCAGAGAAGGGACATTAAAAAAGACCAGCAACAAACTTGACTCTCAGAATTCTTTCAACAGCGTCATCTATCATGGACATCTTTATCTCCCCGGATTCAACCAAGGATGTCAAATCCTCAATAAATTGCTTATATCTATGAGGCACCATCACCTGCGTACATGTTTTAGTTGAGAGTAGAAAAAAGATATAAATCCAAAAAAGAAGCCTTGATGCCTTGAACCAAATTATACCATGTCAATTCCGGCACTAATGGCGGTAAAAACACAATGACGATAATTTGAGCCTCTTGGTTCGCTAAGTCTGTCAAGTGCTTTCCAATTCGAAATCAGAAACCCCTGCCAGAGAGATTTACCCAAAGCTTGAGAATTGAAAACAGTATATGCCTTTCAGGATATATTGCAAATAAGATGTCTACCTTGAAACCTAGTTTGTCTTTCAAAATCTCTGTCAAGAGGAACTGGTGAGCATGAAGTTTACATCCATTCCAACTAGAATAAGATGCATAACTGTTGAAACTCCCTGATTAAGACAATCAAGGTAAGGTTCCATGTGAATCCTCTCTAAATCATCATATGATGATATAGTATTTCCCTCATTTATACCATTTTCTGTACCGCCGTCTCCAACAAAATGCTTGGCACATGCAATGACATTGTATCTGGAATCAAATTAGTAAATCATTAAGTTCTAACCGT